TTTCATTCTCATGCATGTGGCCTCTAATTTTCCGAATGCCATTTACTGAAGAGGCTGTCTTTTTCCCAGTGGATAGTCTTTCCTGCTTTGTCGAAGTTGAGTTGGCCATAGTGTTGAGGGCCCATTTCTGGGTTCTCTATTCTGTTCCACTGATCTGTGTGTCTGTTTTTGTGCCAGTACCACACTGATGGTCACAGCTTTGTAATACAGCTTGAGGTCAGGCATTGTGATGACACCAGCTTTGGTTTTCTTTTTCAACATTCCTTTGGCTATTTGTGGTCTTTTCTGGTTCCATACAAATCTTAGAATTATTTGTTCCAACTCTGTGAAAAATGTTGACGGTATTTGCATTGAATGTGTAGATTTTTCTGTATAGCCACACTTTCATTTTTTAAAAGATTTTATTTATTTATTCATGAGAGACACAGAGAGAGGCAGAGACACAGGCCGAGGGAGAAGCAGGCTCCCTCCGGGGAGCCCGATGTGGAACTCGATCCCAGGACACTGGGATCATGCCCTGAGCCGAAGACAGACGCTCAGCCACTGAGCCACCCGGGTGTCCCTGTATAGTCACACTTTTAATGATGTATCCAGGTCATTATGTTTTATAGGGGTTGGGGATATATTTATACTACTTGAGGTATTATGAGCTTTTTGGATCTGTGGTTTTATGTATTTCACTATATTTAGACACTTTCTCAGCTCTTATCTCTTCAAATATTTCTTCTGCCTTATTTTCTCTCTCCTGTTTCTCTGGGACTTTAATTACATACATTAGTGATGATTTGATATCTTCCTAGAGCTCTTTGATGTTCTGTTCTTGTTTTTCCTCCCACTTTCTCTTTGTGTGTGTGTGTTTTGAAGATTTTACGATTGTTTTTAAATAATCTCTCCACTCAATGTGGGACTAGAACTTACAGCCCTGAAATCAAGAGTTGCATGCTCCACTGACTGAACCAGCCATATGGCCCACTTTGTGTTTTAATATGGGAAATTTCTATTATCTTCAAATTGAATGATTCCACTCTTAGCTGTGTGAAGTATACTCATGAGCTCGTTGTAGGAATTAATTTTTGACACTGTATTTTGAATTTTATATTATTGTTTGGGTCTTTCTTACAATTTCCATGTCTCTTCCAAAATTCCCTATCTGTTCATATATTTAGTCTGTGTTTTACACACTGTCCTTTTACATATTGTGATATTCTGAGCCTGGAGACTCATGGAAGCTCTGCACCCTCTCCTCATGCCTTGCTCTCTGCATCTCTTCCCTCTGGCTGCTTATGAGCTGTATCCTTTTATTTTTTTTTTAATTTTTTTTAATTTTTTATTTATTTATGATAGTCACACAGAGAGAAAGAGAGAGGCAGAGACACAGGCAGAGGGAGAAGTGGGCTCCATGCACCAGGAGCCCGACGTGGGATTCGATTCTGGGTCTCCAGGATCGCGCCCTGGGCCAAAGGCAGGCACTAAACTGCTGCACCACCCAGGGATCCCTTTTTTTTTTAATTTTTTAAAAATTTTTTATGTATCCTTTTATAATAGAGTGGAAATCTAGTGAGCAAAAGCTTCTCTGAGTTCTGTGAGGCACTGTAACATATCAGTTGAACTTAGGGACCTCTGATCCAGAGCCGGTTGGTCAGAAATGTAGGTGACAAGCTAAGCTTGCAGGTGGCATCTGAAGTGGGGTGTGGGGTCAGTCTTCTAGGACTGAGCAATTAACCTGTGGGATCTGATGCTGTCTCCAAGTAGATAGTGTCAGAACTGAGTTGAATTTTAGGACACCATGTAGTGTCCCAGACCACTGTTGGAGGTATGGGGAAGCATCCCCACACATGTGTGAAAACACAATTTGCGTATTAATCACAATTAATTAATTAATTAATTAATAGAAGCCTTCTTTGCCCCACACGATGGAATGTGTCACTCCATCCCACAGGTAACTATCATCCTAAATTTAATATTTGTCATTCTCATGCTTTTACCTATACATTTACCACATGTCCTCCATAAATATTTACACCTCTTACATATTTGCCACTTTGACTCTTTTTACTGCATTCTGGATACTTTCTTTGGACCTGCCTTCTGATTTTTCTAATCCCCTCTTTGGCTGTGTGTTTTATTGTTATGTGATGACCTTCAAGGTACCTAAGAGTCTGGATTCCTTTGTGGTGGGCTTCCAGGGCCATGTGCTTAGGGCAAGGGCTGGAGGCGGTGTTCTTGCTCTGCCCTAAGTTTTCTCCTGCCCTCGTGTGTCTGGCACGTGGAGGGGACCTCTACACATGCCTGCCTCTCCCTCCAATGACTTCTCCTCCTTCTGCAGCTCTACCAGCCAGGCTGAGTTGGGACCAGGAGGGCTCTGTTGTCCTGGTCCAGGGTCAGTCTTGAGCAGGCCTATGTGCCTGGGTCGTGGAGGGTGAGGCTTTCTCACTTCCTAGTGCTTCTCCCTGCAAAACGGGCCAGACTCTGCTTTGTAGTTGGGGAGGGTTTGTGTGAGCTTCCCCTACCCCCCGCCTTTTGCAGCGCTCTGATTCCCGGCCCCTGTTGAGTGGGCGTAGCTCTTCCTCTGCCCTTCCCATCTATAAAGTGAGTCTCGGGTGCTGGATGTGGGGATGACCCCTTCCCCCTGCACCCTCCAAGGACCCCCACCCCCAGCAGAGCTGCTGGAGAAAGGGCTCTTTGAGGAGGGGCTATTGTACTTATGCTTGTATATGTCTTCGAGATAAGAACTTCAAAATATGTGAGAGTAAACCAGAGGGACAAGCTGCATCAGGAAGGCACGATTTATTTGGCTCACACAGGGTTGGTTCCCTGCTGGAGTCAGAGGACCCTGGAAAACCAGGGCTTCCCAGGGGTGGGGGGCACGCTTCCCAGGGTCACAGAAGGATCCAGATCATCCTGCTCCATCCTTGCCACTGGCTTCAGAGAGTCTGCTGGGCATGTTCTTCATCTGCCCCGTGCAGAACCTGGAGACCCACCGAAGGCTCGTTCCAGGAAGGGCACAGGTGTGGCCCCCGTGCCCTGGGAGTGGCTGGGCAGGAGGCTCATGGTCAGAAGCAGGTCGAAGTGCTACAGGAGACGGGCCTGCAGACCAGGGTGGGGCGGGAGGGCTGGCAGGACCCAGAGGACTGGCAGGAGGAGGCCACAAACACCAAAGGCTTGCAGCTCACGGGCAGGCACACGGAGGACTGGGAGGAGGGGACGACATACACGGAGGGCCGGTAGCTCACAGGCACGGACACGGCAGGCTGGCAGCTCACAGGCACGGACACGGAGGGCCGGCAGCTCACGGGCACGTAGCAGGACGCCTGGCAGGGGCTGGAGGTGAAGCAGGAAGCCTGGCAGCCTGGGGAGCAGCTGGTGTGGCACATGTTGGCGTGGAGCTGGGCTGGTGTCGGGGAGGAGGGTGGAAGTGTCTGGAGGGTGCTCCCGGGGTGGCCTTTATACCCGGGCTGGAGCGTCCTGGGGCATGACTGCCTGTTGACTTCCTCAGTTGTTTCCAGCACGCTTCCCCCCGCCTCCTGTCGCGGGTGTGCTCTCCTGTGTCAGGCTCCACCATAAATATGTTTAATGTAGAGGCCAATTTCTTCTTCTGTAAACAGGTTGTTCTGGTTTGACTTTGCGTGGGGTTGGGGTGATCTCTCCAGGCCAGCACTGTGCACACAGCACCACTGGCTCCACTCCGGACTGCATCCTTCATCCCTTCTTGCCTCATGCCATCTGGGGGCACTTTGGGGCAGTGATGCATTTTGAGCTTTTCTGCACAGAGAACATTAAAGTGGGGATCCCTATGCTGGGAAGCAGGGAAGTCTGTGGGACAAATCGGGCCTCTGCTTGTTTTGTAAATAAAGTTTTATTGGAAACAGTCATGCTCGTTTGCTTCCGTGTTGTCTGGGGCTTGCTCTGTAATGTGGGGTGCTTATAGAGAGCACGCCACTGCCAGCCTGAAATAGTTACTCTCCTCCTTTTATGGAGAGGTGACCCCTTCTGCCTCCTAGTAACCTATACAACAGCTGGTTTGTTCGTGCGACACATATGTATTGTGTGCCGGCCACAGAGACGTCCTGGCCCCGTGAGCCTTGCGGGGCGAGGAATGAATGAGTGCGTGAAAGTTAATGCGTGAAATGATTCCAGAGCAGGCCAAGTCCCAGAAAGAAAAACAGGTTCAGCAGGTAGAGAGGAGTGAAGGCCCTGGTGGGTGGTTTGAGGCACCCCCCGGGTGGAGGCGATGCTGAGAGAACAGAATTAAGACACACGAAGAGTGACTAGGGGACCGTATCAGGAAGTCTAACAACGAGCGATCCCAACCCAAGGAGGAGCAGAGAATGATATTGAGACATAAATAGTGGACCAAAGTCCCCAATGGTTTTTCAGGTAGGCTCCATGCCCAGCGTGGATCCCAACGTGGGGCTTGAGCTCACCACCCTGAGGTCAAGACCTGAGCTGAGATCAAGGTTCAGATCTTTAACTAACTGAGCCACCCAGGACTCCCCCCCCCCAATTGTTTTTATTTAAATTCTAATTTATCAATCCAAGAGTCTCAGAAAACCCCTGAAGTCCCGCATAATCTGGCACTGAGGTCGAGGCCACGGACTCCAGGGTGCAACCGAGCAGCTTCAGACTCCTGCTGCTTCACCCAGTGGTGAGGAGGCCCACACGTCAGGGACTCTGACTGCACCTCCGTGTAAGTGGGGTCCCCCCCACCCCTTGGATGGTGACAGGGATCGGTAACTAATCAGGGATGAGCAGATCCACGTGCAAGGGTCCGCACGGTGCCCGGCGCAGGGCTGGGAATGTGTGACGTGTGTGATGTGGCCACGGCCGCCGGCCACGAGGAGCCCTGCCGCTTGGCTCTGGTCCGTCGGGAAGATTCTGGATCACGAAGTTTCTGAATTGATCCCGGTCTGGCGAGCGGGAAGGTGCTTGTGTGGACGGAGGACAGTGTATCAGCTTGGGGAGGCCCCCCAACATCCTGATGTGGGGTCCCCTGTCCCCAGCTGATGGTCCCTCACCATCCTACCCGGGCTCTGAATCCAGAACTCCCGGGGCCGCTGGGTCACGGCGAGCCTGCAGCTTACACGGGGTTTCCTGAACTGAGTCACTCGCACCAGGAACTCCAGGGAGAGACGCCGAGGAGGAGGAGGAAAACCATCATGCGACTGGAGGAAGGGACGCCACAGCTGGGTATAAAGGCCACCAGGTAGGAGCGTCCAGACCAGCCTGTCCTCGTCCCCGACTCCACTCCAGCCCCACTCCACCATGTGCCACACCAGCTGCTCCGAGGGCTGCCAGCCAGCCTGCTGTGTGCCCAGCTCCTGCCAGGTGTCCACCTGTGTGGTCAGCCCCTGCCAGGTGTCCAGCTGCGTGCTCAGACCCTGCCAGGTATCCAGCTGCGTGCCCAGCTCCTGCCAGGTGTCCAGCTGTGTGCCCAGCCCCTGCCAGGCGACCTTCTGCGTGTCCAGCCCCTGCCAGGTGTCCAGCTGTGTTCCCAGCCCCTGCCAGGTGTCCAGCTGCGTGCCCAGCTCCTGCCAGGTGTCCAGCTGTGTGCCCAGCCCCTGCCAGGTGTCCAGCTGTGTGCTCAGCCCCTGCCAGGTGTCCAGCTGCGTACCCAGCTCCTGCCAGGTGTCCAGCTGTGTGCCCGTGAGCTGCAGGCCCGTTGTGTGCTTTCCAGTGAGCTGCAAGCCCGCCGTGTGCCTGCCTGTGAGCTGCAAGCCCATCGCGTATGTGGCCTCCTCCTGCCAGTCCTCTGGCTGCTGCCAGCCCTCGTGCCCCACCCTGGTCTGCACCCCTGGCCCGTGTGGCACCCCGAATTGCTGCTGAGCTGTGGCCTCCTAGGACCCCTCCTCTCTGCAATCAGAAGTAGCTGCTCTGAGCTCCTACCAGGCAGCCCAGGCATCACCTGCCTCAGACCTTCTGGACCCAACTGGATCATCTTCCAGCAAAGCCACTTGATCCCCACTAACCAGGTGGAACGGGTCACCCACTGGGTCCCCCGGCCCAGGCCTGGATCACCCACACAGCACCCAGCTGGCTGGTGCGAGTGCCCAGGCTCTGCAGCCGCCCCCACAAGAGTCTAATAAATCCCGGAGCGTGTGCGAAGCCCCCGAGTGTGTGCGGCGTGTCTCCTTTAGCTTTCTCCGGGTGGCTCCCCAGGATCCAGGAGCACTCCCTCTGCCGAGGCACCCCGTTTACCAGGTGGCCGTGCCCAGGTGGCGAGTGGGCGAGTGGGCCTCCTGCTCAGCCTGAGAGGTGCCCCTGGAACTTCCTTTGGTCCCACTTTGTCCCTCGAACCACCGAGGTTTGTTCTTGCTCTGCTGGGAGGGACTGAAGGCGCGTCTCCAACCTTCCCACCTGCCTTTTAGGTAGAAAGGTCCCCGCTCAGCCACTAACATTCAGAGCCAACCTGGTCGAAAACTGAGACGTGTATGCTCCAGGGAAGAGCACAGCTCCTCCTTTGCCCGTGGGGGACAGGGCTCTGAAGGTAACTTCCCCTCGGAGTCACTCGCGTCCCTGTCCCCAGGATGGGTCAATACAGCCCTGCAGGCAAGGCGGCTCCGCAGACCGGTGACCTGAGGCTGATGCACTGGGAGGTGGGCCGGGTGGGCCCGCGTCATCCAGGGATTCACAAGAAGGAGATGGGGGGGTGCAAAAGAGGAGGCCGTGGGAAACGGGATGCCGCACCGCGGGCTTGGAGCACAGAGCGGGGAGCACGGAGCGGGGAGCACAGAACGGGTGGTGGAGCAGAGCAGGGAGCATGGGGGCGGGTGGTGGAGCACAGAGCACTGACCAGGGAACACCAAGCAGGGTGCAGGGAGCAGGGAGCAGGGAGCACCGAGGAAGGAGCATGAAGAGGGAGCACCACTCAGGGAGCAGAGAGCATCAAGCAGGGAGCCCCACTCAGGGAGCACCGTGCAGAGAGCATGAAGCAGGAATCATGGAGCACTGAGCAGGGTGCAGGGAGTACCCAGCAGGGAGCCCCGAGCAGGGAGCCCTGCGCAGGGAGCAGGGACCCCGAGCAGGGTGCAGGGAGCACCGAGCAGGGTGCAGGGAGACGCAGCAGGGAGCCCCGTGCGGGGGCGGCGCTGCGCCCGGGGGGACAGGGGACAGGTGTGCGGCGCTCGGCAAGGACCGGGCCCCCCAGAGCGCGGCCGCCGGGACCTGAGCGTCCGCCGGGGCCGGGGCTCCCGCAGCGCCGGTGCGTGCGTCCCCGTGGCCCCTCGACGCCCACCCTCCGCGCTCCCGCCTGGGGCCCGCGCGGCTCGGGGTGGGGACCCCCGGCCCGCCAACCGGCCCTGCCCCGACGCGCCTGCGCCCCCTGCGGGGGACCGCGGACACCCCCGGGCTGACTCCCCGGGTGGGGGCGCGGGGCCGCCGGGGACACACGAGGGCAGGGCAGCGCCAGGGGAGCGGGGACAGCGGGGAGGGGGGGGCGGGGTGGGGGGCGCCTGAACCAGGACGTGGTCCCCGGGGAGCGCCCGCGGGGTCCTGACCGCGCCGGAACTGCGCACCCACGGTTCTGGGATCGCCCGGCACCCCCAGGCCTCGGGTCGCGAGCATGTGACGGTCGGGTCGGGGCGCCTGCCGGGGCTCCCTCCTCCCGGTCCGTGAGCCCCACCGCGTGCCCAGCCGGGGTCCCTCCCCCCGGGCGCCCCCGGAGCCGCCACAGGCAGCGCGCAGGCCCCGCCCCGGGGATGTCCTTGATGGGGGGGACCGCGCTGCTCCCGGGCGCACCGGGCTGCCGCCCGCAGAGGGGCTCCCCGGGGTCGGGGTGGGGGCTGGGGGGCTCGGAGGGTGGGGGGCTCGGAGGGTGGGGGGATGGGGGCTCGGAGGGTGGGGGTGTGGGGGCTCGGAGGGTGGGGGCTGGGGGGCTCGGAGCGCTGAGCCGCGTCGCTGCAGTGGAACACGGGACCGGAGGCCGACACCTCCGTCGCATTCTCTCCTTGGGCAAGGGGGGCTGGCTGGTCGTGTAGACGCCCCGTCTGGGAGCTGTGGGGCAGACCGTGTAGACACCCCCTCTGGGAGCAGCTGTGCTGGCCATGTAGACGCCTCCTCTGTGAGCCGGGCTGGCTGTGTAGACAGCCCATCTGACAGCAGCCAGGCTCGGCGTGTAGACGCCCCATCTGGAAGCAGTCCGGCTGACCGTGTAGACGCCCCGGCCAGGAGCCGTTGGCCGCAGGCAGGCTGGCCAGGCCTTTGCAGGGTACCTGAGCCTCCTGCAGGAACCGTCAGGTGGTCCGGGGCGTGGAGCCGCCAGCCCAGGGCAGGGGTGCCTCCCGCAGGGCCCCGCCGACCCTCCCACGCACTATGCTGGCGCCGTTGTGGGCTGTGGGTTGCTGGAGGTTGACTTCCTGGGGAGTCAATCTCGTGCCCTTTGGCTCTGCGGTCCAGGGAGGGGCGGAGCCTCCCCTGCCTCTGGTGCGGAATCCACCCGGGTCTCTGCCTTTATCTGTGCAGATGGTCTGGTTTTCTTAAAATTCAAATGAACAAGTAACGGGCACAGGTTTTGAATAAATTCAGGTGAACTGAGGGGTTTAAGAGCCCAGCCCCTTTCCTTTTCAAGGCCCCTTGGCTCTGGGTCCTCCCCCGGGGTAGAGCCCGCCTGGGGCCAGGGGAGCCAGCCTCTGAGGGGGCGCATGTCGTCCTCTCCCGCCTGCCGCACCTCTGCTCTTCTGCCCCGGGGCCTCTCCCCCCTGTTCCTGGTGCAAGACATAAGGGGGACCTGATGCCGGCCTGGTTGGTCTGCCTGGTGCCCACCTGGCCCCCCAGCGCTGTGGTCCCCTGAGACTGCAGGCTCGTCCTCCCCCGCTGTCCCAAGGGTTTGTCCGCAAGGCACCTTTTTGCCCCCATCTCCTTAATCAGGCCTCGAAGCCTTGAGTAGAGTGGATGATGCCTGACCCACTCTGCACCCCTCTCGGGGCCTACGGGGATTTGCGGGGCTTAGAGCGCCAGCCCTTGTGCCCACCCAGCAAGCGGCCGCTCCTCTGTGTGGGCACCCCTCCCCAGGGGAGTCAGCACGGTGCTGGGTACTGAGCCTCGGGGTCCCGCCAGTTAGGCTCCTGCAGCTCCCCCTTCACCTGCACGGGCAGGGGATCGGGTGGGCCAGAGCCTGAAGGCCACTCAGGGTGCGGGCCTTCTGCGGCCCTGCTCACCTCCCGGGCCCAGGCTGGGAGGGCTCCGCACCGTGGGTGGGTGTGGGTGTGTGTGTGGGGGAGGTCCTGGGAGGGGAAGGGCCAGGTGCATGCAGGCAACATCCGCATTCAGACCTCATTGTCTCTCAGGGGCTTTGAGCTTGGACATGAGACTGGGTCGTCACTGTTTGCAGCCCCCCCCAGCAGCCACGGCTCCAACCGGGGGCTCTCCGGGCTTGGAGGAGGAGGGACAGACACACGCCCGTCTCTACTTCACGACACAAACGCTTTATTGATCACAGCAAGTGGCCTTCGTCACGCGGATTACAAGCCACGGCTCGTGCAGACGAGGGCCCTGGGGCCGCAGGTCGCCTCCGCTGAGGGCTGTGGGTCATCTCCCCAGAGAGGGGCAGGTGGCCTGTTCAAGTCCCCGGTTGGCAGCAGCCGCATGTCCACTGAAGGCCGGGGGTCCCGGGGTGAGGGGATGGGGGGGCTCAGCAGCTGAGATGGCAGCTCCCGGGGCAGTTCAGGCAGCTCAGCAGCAGGCGGGGCGGTGGCAGGCCTGGCAGGAGCACCCGGGGTGGCACAGCAGGGACATGCTGGAGGCCTGGCGGCAGCAGCTGAGCTGGCAGGGGGAGGAGGGAGCACAGCAGGCGGGCCTGCACACGGGGCGGCAGAGGAGGGACACGCAGGAGGAGGGTCTGCAGGGGCTGGGCTGGCAGCAGGGGGAGGACTGGCAGCAGACGGGTTTGCAGCAGACAGGGGTGCAGCACACGGGCTTGCAGCAGACAGGGGTGCAGCAGATGGGGGTGCAGCAGACAGGGGTGCAGCAGATGGGCTTGCAGCAGACAGACACACAGCTGTCTTCCTGGCAGGGGGAGGAGCTGCAGCAGGAGGGCTGGCAGCTAGACTGTTGGCAGCAGGGGGAGGTCTCACAGCAGACCGGGGTGCAGCAGACAGGGGTGCAGCACATGGGCTTGCAGCAGACGGGGGTGCAGCAGACAGGGGTGCAGCAGACGGGCTTGCAGCAGACAGACACACAGCTGTCTTCCTGGCAGGGGGAGGAGCTGCAGCAGGAGGGCTGGCAGCTAGACTGCTGGCAGCAGGGGGAGGCCTCACAGCACACGGGCTTGCAGCAGATGGGGGTGCAACAGACGGGCTTGCAGCAGACGGGGGTGCAGCACACGGGCTTGCAGCAGACAGACACACAACAGCCCTCCTGGCAGGGGGAACAGCTGCCGCAGGAGGGCTGGCAGGAGCCGGGGCAGGCTGGTGGGCAGGGGCTGGACCCGCAGCTCGCAGGGGTGCAGAGGAGGGTCAGGCAGGAGGCCGGGGCACAGCAGGGAGGCTCGCAGTAGCTCTCGGGACAGTCGTCCACCTGCCAGGAGGAGTCGGGGCAGGAGTCGCAGGAGCCAGGCAGGCAGACGCGGCCGCTGTAGCTCAGGTCGCTGGAGCAGACGGACAGGGTGGAGGCGGCCATGGTGTGGGTGCTGGGGCGGGGTGTGGGTGCGGGTGAGTGTGTGGGTGCACGTGTGGGTGTGAGTGTGCGAGGTGCTGGGCCAGCGGCTTTTATACCCCATGGGGTGTTTGTGTTGTCCCAGGGGACGCTCCCCACGCCTCCCTGGCTTGTTGGTGTTTTGGGCCGTGAGGACCATCATTAGGCCTGTTGTCACGACCCGATGTCGCTCAGCTTGTAAGCCTTCTCCCCGCTGGGCAGGGCTGCTTGTCCCTGACGTGAGCCCAGTTCCCCTGGGAGCCCCGGTGGGGAAGGTGTAGCCTCCCTGTGGCCCACCCTGTGGCTGACACTGTGGCCCCCTCCTGGCAGGTTATGTGCTGGGGGTCCAGGTGCCAGCCTTGGGCTCACGTGACCTGCCCCGTGTGGCCCCAGCCCGGGTGTGCAGGGCCTCATGGGAAGCAGCTGGGTTGTGGAGCAGGAGGACAGAGGTGCATATTTCAGGGCACAGGTGACGTGGGACTGATCACTCCTGGGCGGCTGGTGAACTTCTGTGGTCCCAGTGTCTGCCAAGGCCAGTGAGGAGGAGGCGGATGCCCACAGACAGGGCCCGACACCCCCTCCCCAAGGAGGAGCCAGAATGTCCCAGGGAGGCCTGCACTCCCTAGGTCATTGGGAGGACCGGATTCAAGGACTGATCCTTGGGGCCTAACGCTCTTCCTCGGAGCCTGTGGTCGGTCAGTGGTCCTGGCAGAGGCAGGTCCCTGTTTGGGGCCTGAAAGTGGGCTGAGATTTAATCTGGAGGAGGTGGGCGTGGAGTGAGAGTGACGTGGGAACAGTCCATCCAGGACAATCCAACATTGCTTAATTTCAAAACCCAAAGGGAATCTGTTTGGAACATGAATGGAGGAGAAGGTTAGTATGAACGTGAGAAAGTCCTCCCCGCGGAAGCAGGAGAGGGTATGAAAGAATCACATACAAAATTCAAAGCACTCGAGTTTCCAATAAACACAGGGAAAGATACTTGAGCTCATTAAGAATCAAATGTTCCCAAATTAAAACAAAAAATGTCACATCTGTAAGATCAGCAAAGCTTTAGGACGTTGTGGACTTGTAGCACTGCTGCGCGTGGGGGCCCCACTCCCAAAGACCCCTAGCAGGCATGATCTTTACAGATTGGGCCCACAATGATACAATTTGTGATTTTGTCCCTTTTAAAGTGTACGAGTCGGTGGCACTTAGCAAAGTCATGATGTTGTACAACCACGACCACCATCTATTTCTAAAACGTTCTCATGGGTCCAGAAGGAAACCCTGTCAGTCACCAATCTGCTTCCTGTCTCTACGGACCTGCCTCGTCCACACACTCCGCCTGGAAGGGCTCACACAGTACATGGCCCCGTGTCTGACCTCTTTCACGGAGTGCGATGTTTGCCAGGCTCGTCCAGGTTGCAGCGTGTCCGTGCTTCACTCCTGCCACGGCCGAGTAATAACCCAGCAAACGCCACCCCACATCTTATTTATCTGTTGTTCATCATCAGTCAGCGGACATCGGGGTTGTTTCCACCTTTTGGCTGTCGTGAATAGCGCCGCCGTGGACATTGTACACGGTTTTGTTCGAACGCGTCTTTTCAGTTCGCCATGGTGTCTACCTAGCAGTGGAGTTGCTGGATCAGATGGTGACTCTGTGTTTAACGTTCGAGGACCTGCCAGGCTGCCTTCCACAGCAGCTGCACCGTTTTGCATTTCCGACGGCAAGGTTCTTTCCACATGCTCCCCGACGTTGCTTCTGTTCTGGTTTAAAAAAAAAAAATCGTAGCCACCCTTGGCTACGATTGGCATCGTAATAAGACGCTGGCATCTTATTGCGGTTTTGACTTCCGTTTCCCTGACGACTGATACTCTTGGGCTTCCTTTCAAGTGCTTGTTGGCTGTCTGAATATTTTCTTTGGAGGAATGTCTGTCAAAGTGCTTTGCCCATTTTTAATTGGGTTATCTGTAGCTTTGTTGAGTTACAGGAGTACTTCATGTATTCTGGATATTAAATTATGCTTTGCAAATATTTTCTGTCGTTCTGTGGGTTGCCTTTCACTCTCTCGATAGCATCCTTTGAAGCACAGAACTTTAACTTTCGATGAAATCCAACTCACCTGTTTCCTTTTGTTTAGTGTCATAACCAAAACAATCCCTTTGCCGAATCCAAGGTCATGCAGATTTTCCCCTATGTTTCCTTCCAAGAGTTTTAGAGCATCAGCATGTATATTTAGGTGTTTGATTGATGTTTGAGTTGATTTTTGTAAATGGTGTGAGGTAGGGTTCAACTGTATTCTTTCACACATGGATGTCCAGTTGTCCCAGCACCCTCTGTTGAAGAGACTATTCTTTCCCCCACGAGATGATCTTGACGCCCTTGTTGAAAATCAATTGACCAGATGAGTATGGGTTTATTTCTACATTTTCAGTTTTATTCCACTGACTTCTATGTCTATCATTATGCCAGTACCACTGTTTTGATCACTGTAGCTTTGTAGTAACTTCTGTGTGTCCTTTCTAATTTGGACATCTTTTGTTTGTTTTCCTTGCCAAATTGCTCTGGCTAGCGCTTGCAGCACAATGTTGAATAGAAGCGGTGAAAGAGGGCATCTTTGCCTGTTCCTGACTTAGGGGAAGGCTTTCTGTCCTACACTATGGAGGCTGATGTTCCCTGTGGGGTTTTCATCTACTCTCTATTATGCTAGGGAAGTTCTCTTCTCATAGTTTGTTGATGGTTTTATTATGAGAGGGTGTTGGCTTTTGTCAGATGCTTTTTCTGCATCAGATGAGATCATCATGTTCCCCACCCCCCACCACACACACTTTATTCTATTAATGTGATGTATTAGTTTGATTGTTTTCCATATGTTGAATTACTCTTGCATTATTGGGATAAACCCACTTGGTCATGGTGTATAATTCTCTTAACATACTGCTAGATTTTGTTTGATAGTATTTGGGGGAAGTCTTAAAAATCTTTATCTATAAGGAATATTGGTCTGCAGTTTTCTTTTGTTTGCTTTTGCCTGGCTTTGATATCAGGATAATGCAGACTTCACAGAATGATTTAGGAAGTGTTCCCTCATCTTCCGTTTTTGGAAGAATTTGAGAACATTTAGTGTTAATTGTTCTATAAATGTTTAGCAAAACCCAGCATGAAACCATCTGGTCCTGGGGTTTGCTTTTGGGGGAGGTTTTGGATTATATTGTAATCTCATTCCTTGTTTTATGTCTATTCAGTTTGCCTATTTCTTCTTGAGTCAGTTCACTCACTTGAGATTCAAAGACACAAATAGATTGAAAGTGAAAAGATAGAAAAAGATACTTCATGCAAATAATAACCAAACGAGAGCTGGATGGCTATAATAAAATCAGACAAAATAGTCTTTGAGTCAAATTTGTTGTAAGAGACAAAAAAAGGATATTAAGTATTGATAAGAGGGTCAACATATCAAGAAGAGATGACAATTATAAACACATATGCACCTACTAACAGACTTCCAAATATATAAGGCACAAATTACAGAATTAAAGAAATAATTTCAGTTCTATGATAATAGTTGGAGATTTCAATGTCTTTTCCATGAATAAAAAAAATGACATAATAGAACAACTCGATCAAAGATCAACAATGAAACAGAGGCTTTGAATAACACTATAAACCAACTAAACCCAACATGTATACAAAATACTCAGCAACAGCAGAATGCATGTTCTTCTCAAGTCCCCATAGAATATTTTCCAAATTAGACTCTATGTTAGGCCACAAAACAAATCTCAGTAAATTTTAAAAGCTGAAATCGTACCAAGTATCTTCTCTGACCAAAATGGAAAGAAACCAATAACAGAAGAACAATGGGAAAACTCACAAATAATTGGAAATTAAACACACAGTGAAACAACCAATGAGCCAAAGAAGAATTCACAAGAGAAGTTAGAAAATACTTTGATATGAAAGCAGATGACAACGCAATGAGTCAGTACTTAGGGGATGGAGCAAAAACAGTGCTCAGAGGCAGATTCATAGTTGTCAACACTTGATTTAAAAAGAAGAAATATTTAAACCCACAACCTAACCCTACATCTTAAGGAACTAGAAAAAGAAGAGCAGACCAAACCCAAAGCTGGGAGAGGAAGGAAACAGAGCACAGATTAATGAAACAGACACTAGAACTACTACAGAGAGAATCGGTGAAACCAAAAGTTGGTTCTTTGAACAGAGCAACAGAATGGACAAACTTTTATCTAGACTAGGAAAAAAAAGAGAGAAGACTCAAATTAAATAAAAATGGGGACATCACTACTGACCTTACGTACGTGACAAAGGTTATATGAGAGTTCTAACTGGACACCAAAGACTTTGGTGTCCCGCAAAAATCCTTAGAAACACAGAAACTACCCAAACCAACACTCTGACTGGAGTCCTTTATCTCCTCCTATGGCTCCAAGTTACTGTTTAGTGTCCTTTTATTTCAGCCCAAATTATCATTTCTCCTAGGGCAAGTCTGTCCATGGGCAATGAAGCCTTTTAACTTTCATTTACCTGGATGTGTCTTAATCTTTGCTTCACTTGGCAAATGCACATTTGTGGGGCATGGACTTCTTGGTTGGTGGACCTTCTTCCAGCACTTTACACACGCCGTCCCACTGTCTCCTGCTCCCACATTTCTGATGAGGAATTGGCTGCTAATCTTCCCTCTTACCGCTTTTAAGATTCTCTCTTTGTATAATTTGGTTATCATGTATTAGTGTGGTTGTCTCTGGGTTTATCCTCTTTGGAGTTCACTGAGCTTCTTAGATGTATAGACTCCTATTCTTTTTTAATTCGAAAAGTTTTTTTAGCCATTATTTCTTCAACATTTTTTTCAGCCCCTCTTCTCTCCCCTCTCTTTAGGAGATTCCTGTCAGTGCATGTTGGTCTACTTGATGGTGTCCCATGGGTCTCACAGCCTCTGTTCACTTATCCTTAGTCCCTTTTCCCATCGACTCCTCAAACCAGAGTATTTCAACTGTCCTGTCTCCGTATTTACTAATTCTTTCTTTTGCCTGCTCACATGTGCTATTGAGCTCCTCTAGTAAATTCAGTGATTGCAATTGGTTCAATAACCCTAGAATTTCCGTTTGGTTCCTTTTTTATACTTCTGTCTCTTTACTGATATTCTCAATTTCATGAACATTATGCTCTTCATTTCTTTTGTTCATGATTTTCTTTGAATCTTAGAGTATATTAAGAGAGTTTACTTAAATGTTTTGTCTAGGGATGGCTGAGTGGCTCAGTGGTTGAATGGTTGAATGTCTGCCTTCGGCTCAGGGCGTGATCCCAGGATCTGGGATCTAGTCCCATATCGGGCTCCTTGTGGGAAGCCTACTTCTCCCTCTGCTTATGTCTCTGCCCCTCTCCCTCTCTCTGTGTCTCTCATGAATAAATACATAAAATCTTTAAAATAATAAAAGCTTTGTCTAGAGACGCCTGGGTGGCTCAGTTGGTGAAGCATCTGCCTTCAGCTCAAGTCATGATCCCGAGGTCCTGGAGTCAAGCCCCAAGGGGGTTTCAGGATCAGCAGGGAGTCTGCTTCTCCCTCTCCCTCCCGCTCCCCTTGCTTGTGCCCCCTCTCTCTTTTTCTTTCTGTGTGTCAAATAAATAAAATCTTTTAAAAAATAAAAGTTTTGTCTAGAAAGTTCAATCCCTAGGCTTTCTCAAAGGCATTTTCTGCTAATTGCTTTTTTACCTGTGAACGAGTCATCCTTTCTTCCTTCTTTGCATCCTTCATATTTTTTGTTGAAAGCTGGACATTTTGAGTATTATCATGTGATAATTCTGGATATCAGATTCTCCCCCTTCCCTATAGTTTTTGTTGCTGATTGCTGTGACCTGTCATTGTGTTTTTGTCCAGTGACCCTTCTAAACTATATTGTAATGACTGCACTCTTTGTCAGGTGTGCTCAGTGTTCCATTAGCCTAGTGGTCAGATACTGATTTGACAGAAACTTCCTTAAACACCTGGAACCAAACAAGACTTTTCCCCCAGTCTTGGCGGCTGGGCTCTGCTTGTGTGTTGGGACCACGCCCACAGCCCTGGGCTGGACAGTTGACGGATGTGCCTTCACCTTCACATGATGCCTGTCAGAGCTGGACATGTAGCCAGTGGTGAGTGTCCAGGGCTTTCTCAGCTCCTTTCTGAGCATGGGCCCCTTGCAGGCGTGTGTGGAGTCTTCTGGTCTCCCAGCCACCTGTGGAAGCCTGAAAACTTTATTCCTCTAAAGATTTCATTCCCCAGCTTTCTGTCCTTGGCTTTTTGGGGTGTCTTCTGTTTGCCACAACTGATACCTTTTCCCCAGGCAGCAGTGGGTTCATTTGACAAACTCTCTCCATGTAGCTGCTTCTTTGCCTTGAAGTTATGAGAAATTAAGCCAAGCCCTTGGTGTGGGCAACTCCAGAGCCACTGCTCAGACAACCACACTTCTCATAGAATGGGGCTTGCTCTTGCCAGAACCAGGGCCCTCACTGGCACCCAGTCCACCAGGCTGCAACCACTTTGTTCTTGGTGGAGCATTTCCTTGGTCGTTGTAACCCCTTGACCATTTGATTCTTTGCCAGTTTTTTCAGTGTTTCTATGGGGGCATGGGGTGGGCCCTTAGAGTTCCCTACTGCCCATCTTTTCTGATCACTCTTAGTAGACACAACTTTTAAAAGTCCTTTTGAGGACATTTGTTGATATCTCTCAGAATTTAAAATCAGCAAACTCTGACCTGGAAGTCTCACTTCTGGGAATTTAGGCACGGTGAAAACACACACCTGTGCACACAGGTAAGCAGTGAGGACCCTCATGGTGGCATTGTTTGTAATGATCAAAACTGGAGAGACTTCAGATGCCCATCCCCCTGTTTCTGAATAAACCCCTAACGGTGTATCACCCTTTGTGATTCTATGTGTCTAGGGACAAGGAGCAACCATAAGGTATTATTTCTTATCAAGTTGGCAAAGATAGAAAAAGGTAACCCCCATGCTGAGAATCTATGCTGCTGTAAAGAGGACCCAGATCTTCTGTGGGCAATGTGATTTTCTTGCCTCCACCATTTGACCCATTGCTCTGCAGTACCAGGACTTCATTCTCAGATTTGCTCATGTGTGTGGGAAGCTGCGTCTGGCTACATCTGGACATGTGACATTTGCTCCCACCCTCTGGTCTGGCCATGTTTTCACACTGTTCTGGCCTTTCTCCACTATTGCTGTTTCCGGTCATCCTTTCCCAGCTGCTCTCTGCCAACCCAGCCCAGTAGGTGGGAGCCCCAGGGGCTGTGTCCTCTTCTCTACCCTCTGCATCCCAGCAGCTGGCATGGTGCTGGAGCACACGACATTCTGGTGTCTGTGAATGTAGGATGCCACCTGTCCCTAGAAGACTGTCTGGGCACCAGACAAGCCAACTGCCGGTCTTTGCTGTCCCTACTTCCCAACAGGACTGTGGCATGTGCTGATGTCGGGACAGCCCTCATCTGTGCGTGAGGAGGAGCTGCTTCTACTTACAGTGGGTTGGGGTCTTTGTTCTCAGCCCATTTGGTGCTCACAGGGTTTTCCTGGGAACAAAGTCTCAGACTGTGATGGTGGCCAGACAGCAGAGCAACGACTGGAAGTAGACATGGCCCATGGCAGGCATCATGTGCAGGAGCTCCTGGTCCTCCAAAGATGACAATATAAGCCCCACAGAGGAGCACAGAGGTCCTTGGGTGCCGGCTAATGATCACATCGCTCCCCTGAGCTCCATGTTCCCAGATGAGTTGTGGGTCCCCTTTGTCAGTGAAACCACCACAGGAAACAGAGAAAAAGGGTGTAAGACTCTAAAATATTTGTTGGCGGTTATTCTGCAGGAAGCGAGTTGCATGGTTAGACTGGTCCAGGGGTCATGTGGGGCTGAGGGAGTCGCCTGTTGCCTGTCTGGCCCAGAGGGGTCCCTGGGCTCTACCTTTCAGGGCATCCAGGGGTGCTTTGGGGCACTTTCTGGGGGGGGATGCAGATGTGGGTGGGTCAGCCCTGGAAGGAGTCCACAGTGACAGACTCACTGGCTGTGAAAGGGAATGGCTGGCTGGGTGGCTTCCTCCTGAGTCAAGGGTGAGCTTGGGGAGGTTGGCTCCGCAGGAGGCAGGGGCCTTTAGGGGACAGTCTAGGTCAGGCAGGCAGGACCCGAGGGAAAGCGCATGGAGTAGCCAGCTGGGCTGCAGGAGCAGGCAGGCTGCACAGGGGCTGCCCCAACAGAGCCCTGAGCCCCTGGGGGGCCCAGGAGCTCTTGTAGCCCAGAGGCAGGGCGGGGGAAGCAGGTGGCCCTGGGACACCCAGGCTGGAGGCCATGAAGCAGGTGCTGTGGCACGTGGTGGCCTGGGGCTGGGTGGGGTCAGGGTGGAGGTCAGGGGTGCCCAGAGGAGCCTTTCCTGGGTGGCCTTTATGGCCTCCTGGCTACAGGCCACATGGGCTTCTCTCTACTGTGTTTTCCCAACACTTCATCTCCCAGTAAAGAGGAGGTGAGGAGGGGATGAGGAGCTCAGACATCAGAGAGCAGCTGTGAATTTAAACCCCCGTCCTTTGGGTGCCTGCCGTAGTGCGAGCCCATGAGAACGGCTAGGGCTGGGTGAGGCCGGCGGTGTTTGTCACAAATAAATCAAAGGAATAACACGTGGGCTCAGGGAACTTCACCCCACGGGACCTCCGGAAGTGACACACACCAGGCACAATCAGCAAAGCCCAGAGAGTCACAGGTCACTTGTGCAAACCACTGAGGACAAGTGTTCCTGGGGTGAGGGCAGGGGTGGGGGCATGCTGGCGGGCGACATAGGGGGATGCCTCTGCTCTTGTCAACGAGTGTCAACCGTGACACCAGTGCCATCCTGACATCAGAGCAGCGTTGTCCAGAGCACCAGGCACGTCCAGGCCTGATGGGGTTCCCAGCTCCCGGAGGAGGCCCTGCCCCGTGACTCCGTGTCCCTTCTGCTCCCAGGCGGAGTCCAGACCTACCAGCTGATGTCTTGAGTCCTGCCCAGGATGGGATCCTGGGGCTCCTGCCACCCACCCTGAAGATTGTGCTTCCAACTTAGTCGTTTCCTTTGGGGGCTTGGAGCAGTGCCTCCCCCAGCCCACCGCCTCTCCACGGGATGAGCAGAGCACGCAGGAGGACCCTAGGGGGACCCCAGGAGGACCCCAGGCTCCAGGGGCTGTGCTGCCTGGGGCCCCCAGGCTAGCTTGGCTGGACCGCTTTGCCCACCTGGGGCGGTGCATGGAGACGGGCCTAGGCTGAGCCCCCCAGGCCACGCCCCATGTGCAGGTGGCCAACCTTGGGAGCCCCGGGGACCCACTCGGGGCCCAGCAGTCCCACCCTGTGGCCCCGCCCAGGGCAGCTGGGCCCTGGCCCTTGGGGACCTCTCATCCATCCTCCCAAAAATGTTCACGCGGGAAGGGACCACTGTTGGGTCCAAACCCCGGGACCCCACCCCCGTGAGAGTCAGATGAAAGGAAGCAGGTCAGCGGGTGAAGTGAGTTTATTGGGGTGCCAGGGAGGTGCCCACAGGTCAGAGGGCGAGGTCAGGTGACTGAGCAGAGGAGCTGGGAGGGAAGGCAGGTGACCAAGGGCAGGTGGAGGTGCATCCCGGGAGCAGGAGCCCTGGGGAGCCGCCGGGTCAGCATTCTTGGGAGGGAGGAGGTGAAGGTCAGGTCAGGAGAGTGGACACCCAGGGGGACCCCATCTTGGGTGGGGGCAGCCACCTAGCACAGGTGAGGGCTGGGCTGGGGGGTGGCCAGGAGGCCCAGGGTCCCTGGGTGGAGCCTAAGCCCGGCGCCCCAGGGTCACGTATCCCATCAGCGGGAGCACACGGGACGGCACAGCAGGGACACGCTGGAGGCCTGGGGGTGGCAGCTGGGCTGGCAGAGGGAGAGGGGGGCGCAGCAGGCGGGCCTGCACATGGGGCGGCAGAGGAGGGACACGCAGGAGGAGGGTCTGCAGGGGCTGGGCTGGCAGCAGGGGGAGGCCTGGCAGCAGACAGGCTTGCAGCAGACAGGGGTGCAGCAAACGGGCTTGCAGCAGACAGACACACAGCTGTCTTCCTGGCAGGGGGAGGAGCTGCAGCAGGACGGCTGGCAGCTAGACTGCTGGCAGCAGGGGGAGGCCCCACAGCACACGGGCTTGCAGCAGACGGGAGTGCAGCATACGGGTTTGCAGCAGACGGGGGTGCAGCACACGGGCTTGCAGCAGACAGACACACAGCTGTCTTCCTGGCAGGGGGAGGAGCTACAGCAGGAGGGCTGGCAGCTAGACTGCTGGCAGCAGAGGGAGGCTGAGCAAGGGGAGGCCTCACAGCAGACAGGCTTGCAGCAGACAGGGGTGCAGCACACGGGCTTGCAGCAGACAGGGGTGCAGCACACAGGCTTGCAGCAGAGGGGGGTGCAGCACACGGGCTTGCAGCAGACAGACACACAGCAGCCCTCCTGGCAGGGGGAGCAGCTACTGCAGGAGGGCTGGCAGCTAGACTGCTGGCAGCAGAGGGAGGCCTCACAGCACACGGGCTTGCAGCAGACAGAGGTGCAGCAGATGGGCTTGCAGCAGACAGGGGTGCAGCACACGGGCTTGCAGCAGACAGGGGTGCAGCACCCGGGCTTGCGGCAGACGGGGGTGCAGCACACGGGCTTGCAGCAGACAGACACACCGCAGCCCTCCTGGCAAGGGGAGCAGCTGCTGCAGGAGGGCTGGCAGGAGCCGGGGCAGGCCGATGGGCAGGGGCTGGACCTGCAGCTCTCAGGGGTGCAGAGGAGGGTCAGGCAGGAGGCGGGGGCGCAGCAGGGGGGCTCACAGCAGGTCTCCTGGCAATCGTCCACCTGCCAGGAGGAGCTGGTGCAAGCACTGGGCGAGCAGAGGCGGCTGCCGCAGCTCAGGTCGCTGGAACAGACCGACAGGGTGGAGGCGGCAATAAGGCAGGTCCGGGAGCAGCAGGTGTCAGCCATGCTGGAGTTTTGTGCTGGGAGGTGAGCAGGACAGGGGTGTGTGTGACAGGTGTGCGAGTGAGGTGCTCTGGGCGTCGGGGCTTTTATATCTGTCCCTGGGGTGCTGAGCCTCGCCTGAGCCTGCACCAGCCTTCCTTTTCCTTGTTGCTCAGCGTGTATTTCCTGACAACCCTTAGGGGTTATTTGCGGTGTGATGTTTGTCCACCGTCCCCAAGGCTCTGAGTGTGTCCGGTGATGCCTGGTTGCTTGTGTGTGGAAACACTGAGGTGCACAGTTCCTGTTGGTCGACCAGCTCAGGGTTGGGTGTGTCTGGACAACCTGGGCTCCTCTTTCCATATTTGCTTGTGTGATTTTGGTGTGAATTCTGGCCTCTGCAGATGCTCCACACGTGGCGGCAAACCCCTCACTGAATAAAAGTGTGTTGGCTCGGAGGAGCCCCCCGATCTCCTGCTCCACCTGCAGACTCTGGTGGGGTGACTCCCACAGTCCGCGCCCGACACTGTCCTTGTTCCGCTGTTTATCTCACGGTTCCCCAGTGATGTGCATATTCTGTACTCTCTTGAGTTTTCAGTTTTATTATTTATTTAAATTTTTAATTTTCAGAAGTCTTTATTTTAATCTTTTAATCGCACGGTGCTCATCATCACAAGTGCACCCCCTAGTCCCCATCACCTGTTTCCCCCAGGCCCCCCACCCGCCTCCCCTCTGGTGACCATCAGTGTGTTCTCTAGAGTTATGAGTGTTTCTCGATTTGCCTCTCTTTCCTTCTATTTTTTGCCCCTTTGCTCCTTTGTTTTATTTCTTAAATTCCCCATATGAGGGAGGCCGTGTGATCATGTCTCTCCCCGGCCGACTCGCCCCCCCCTGCATCATGCCCTCCGGCTCCCCCCACGTCGGTGTAAATGGCGAGATCTCCCCCGTCTGACGGCCGAGTGACACCCGGGGTGCGCAGGGACCACATCTCCTTCCTCCAGCATCTGTCCGTGGACGTCGAGGCTCCTCCCGGCACGGCCCCCGTGGACATCGGGGTGCAAATATCCCTTTGAATTAGTAATTTTATAACTTTGGGGTAAATACCCAGTAGTACAATTGCTGGGTCGTAGGGTAGTTCTATTTTTAACCTTTTGAGGAACCTCCACAGTGTTTTCCAGGGCAGCTGCACCAGTTTGCATTCCCACCAACATGCACAAGGGCTTCCTTCTCTGCACATCCTGGCCAACACCTGTTGTTTCTTGTGTTGTTGACGTTAGCCGTTCTGACAGGTGTGAGGTGGGATCTCATTATGGTTTGATGTGTATTTCCTCCATGATGAGTCATGCTGGGCATTTTTCATGGGCCCGTTGGCCATCTGGCTGTCTTCTTCAGAAAAATGCCTGTTCATGTCTTCTGCCCATTTTAGGATTGAATTATTTGTTTTTTGGGTATTGAGTAAATACAGACCCTTTATACATTTTGGAAACTAACCCTTTATCTGATATGTCACTTGGAAATAGCCTCTTCCATTCCGTAGGTTGTCTTTTAGTTTTGTTGGTTGTTTCCTTGGCTGTGCAGAAGCTTTTTATCTCGGGGAAGTCCCAATAGTTCATTTTTACCTTTGTTTCTCTTGGCTTTGGAGACGTGTCTTGCAAGAAGTTACTGCAACCAAGGTCACAGAGGTTGCTGCCTGTGTTCTTCTCTAGGATTTTGATGGATTCCTGTCTCATTTAGGTCTTTCAACCATTTTGAGTCTATTTTTGTGTGTGGTGTAAGAAAATGGGCCAGTTCCATTCTCCTGCACGTGGCTGTCCAATTTCCCCAGCATCATTTATTGAAGAGACTGTCTTTTTTCCAGTGGATATTCTTTCCTGATTTGTCAAAGATGAGTTGACCATAGAGTTGAGGGTCCATTACTAGGTTCTCTCTTCTGTTCCATTGATCTGTGTGTCTGTTTTTGTGCCAGTGCCAGACTGTCTTGATGATCACAGCTTTGTAATATAGCTTGAGGTCAGGCATTGTGATGCCCCCAGCTTTGCTTTGCTTTTTCAAGTTGCTTTGGCTATTTGGGGACTTTTGCGATTGCATATAAATGTTAGGATTGTTTGTTCCAGCTCTGTGAAAAATGCTGCTGGTACTGTGATAGGCATTGCATTGATTGTGTAGATTGCTTTGGGTAATATGGACATTTAATGATGTTTGTTTTTCCAATCCACGAGCATGTCATCTTTAATTCCTCACATCACCATTTTATAGTTTTCAGAATATAGGTCTTTCAACTCTTTGGTTAGGGTTATTCCTAAGTATCTTACCTTTTTTTTTTTTAAAGATTTATTTACTTATTTGAGAGAGAGAGAGCACGAGAAGTGAGGAGGGACAGAGGGAGAGAGAGTCTTAAGCAGACTCCGTGCTGAGTGAGGAGCCCGACTCAGGGCTTGATCTCACGACCCTGAGATCATGACCTGAGCCAAAATCAAGATTGGATGCTTAACTGACTGAACCACCCAAGCACCCCAGTATCTTATTATTTTTGATATAATTGTAAACGCGATTGATTCCTTAACTTCTCTTTCTGCTGCTTCATTACTGATGCACAGAAATGGAACAGATTTCTCTACCTTGACTTTGTGTCCTGAGACTTTACCGAATTCCCGAATCAGTTCCAGCAGCTTTTTGGTGGAGACTTTCGGGTTTTCTGTATAGAGTGTCATGTCGTCTGCAAGTAGTGAAAGTTTGACTTCTTCCTTGCCGATGTGGAGGCCTTTTATTTCTTTTTGTTGTCTGACTGCGGAGACTAGGACTTCCAGTTCTAGGTCGAACAACAGTGGTGAGAGTGGACGTGCCTGTCCTCCCCCTGACCTCAGGGGACAGGCTCTCAGTTCTTCCCCATTGAGGATGGTGTTCACTGTGGACTTTCTCATATGGCCTTTATTAGGTTGAGGTGGGTTCCCTCTATACCTACCTTGTTGAGGGTTTTTATCATGAATGGATACTGTACTCTGTCAAATGCCTTTTCTGTGTCTATTGAAATGATCACATGGTTCTTCTCTTTTCTCTTATTGATGTGATGTATCACATGGATTGATTTGTGAATATTGAACCACCCTTTATATTGAATAAATCCCAGTTGATTATGATAAATTATTTTTTAAAATGTGTTGGATTCAGTTTTCTAGTGTCTTGTTGAGGATTTTTGCATCCATGTTCATCAGGGTTAATGGCCTGTAGTTCTCTTTTTTTAGCAGAGTCTTTTTTTTTTAAGATTTTATTTACTTATGGGAGAGAGAGAGAGAGAGAGAGGCAGAGACACAGGCAGAGGGAGAAGCAGGCCTCATGCAGGGAGCCCGATGCGGGACTTGATCCTGGGTCTCCAGGATCACGCCCTGGGCTGAAGGCAGGCGCTAAACTACTGAGCCACCCAAGTTGCCCATTTAGTGTAGTCTTTATCTGGTTTTGGTATCAGGGTAGTGCTGGCCTCATAGAGTGAATTTGGAAGTTTTCCTTCTTTTTCTATTTTTTTTGAAACAGTTTGAGAACAGGTATTAAATCTTCTTTACATTTTTGGTGGAATTGCCCTGTGTCTGGTCTTTAACTTATGTTTGCTGGGAGATTCTTGATAATTGATTCAGTTTCTCTGCTGGTTATGGGTCTGCCCAGGTTTTCTATTTCTTCCTGTTTCAGTGTTGGTAGTTTGTATGTTTTCAGGATTTATCCATTTCTTCTAGGTTGTTACTGTTGGCATATAGTATTTCATGATGTTCTCTTATTATTGTTTGGCTTTCTTGGGGGTTTGTTATTATTTCTCCTCTCTCAGTTGTGCTTTTATTTTTTGGATTCCTTTCTCTCTGTTTTTGCTGAGTCTGGCTAGGGATTTATCAGTATATCAATTGTTGATTTTTACAAAGAACCAGTTCCTCATTTCATTGATCTGTTCTCTGATTTTTTAGTTTCTATATCATTTATTTCTGCTCTAATCTTTATTATTTCCCTTCCTCTGCTGGCTTAAAGCTTCATTTGTTGTTCTTTCTCCAGCTTCTTTAGGTGTAAGGTTAGGTTCTGTTGTTGAGATTTTCTTTCTTGAGGTAGGCTTGTATTGCTATATACTTCCCTCTTGGGGCAGCCTTTGCTGCATCCCAAGATGCAAAGGTTCCAAACTGTCCCCCAGTTCCCCAAAGGTTCCAAAATGTTGTGTTTTCATTTTCAATTACTTCCATGTGTTTTACGTTTCCTCCTTAATTTCCTGGTTGACCCATTCATTCTCTAGTAGGATGTCCTTTTTTTATTTTTTATTTTTTATGATGTCCTTTAACCTCCATGTATTTGTGGTCTTTCCAAATATTTCCTTGTGACTGACTTCAAGTCTCACAGCACTGTGGTCTGAGAATATGCATGATATGATCTCAATTTTTGTGTACATGTTGAGGGCTGATTTGTGACCCAGTGTGATCTATGCTGGAGACTGTTGCATGTGCCTCGAGAAGGATGTGTATTTTGCTGCTTTAGGATGGAATGTTCCTCATATATCTGTGAAATCCACCTGGCCCAATGTGTCATCCAAAGCCCTTGTTTCCTTGTTGATTTTCTGCTTGGATGATCTGTCCATTGCTATGAATGGGGTGTTCAGTCACCTACTATTATTGTGTTATTATCCACGAGTTCCTTTACATTTGTTATTAACTGTTTTATGTATTTGGCTGCTCCCAAGTTAGGGACATAAATATTTACAATTGTTAGATCTTCTGACCTTCTTGTTGGATTGTCCCCTTTGTTATGACATGGTGTCCTTCTTCGTCTCTTGTTATGGTCTTTGGTTTAAAATCTAGCTTGTCTAGTATAAGTATGGCTACTCTGGCTTTCTTTTGACATCCATTTACATGGTAGATGTTTCTCCATCCCCTCACTTTCAATCTTCAGGTATCTTTATGTCTAAAATAAGTCTCTTGTAGGCAGAGTATGAATGGATCTTTTTTTTTTTTGCCCATTCTGACACCATGTGTCTTTTGATTGTAGTGTTTAGTTCATTTACATTCAGAGTAATTATTGATAGGTATGTATTTAGTGCCATTTTAATGTTTTGTGATTGTTCCTGAAAATTTTCTGT